ACTTTCTTGAACCCCTCCCCAGACTTCTCCTAAAAATTTTGATTGTGTTGGGACTAGTGAACAAATCCCTTATGATGCTGCCTAATGTTGCTCAGTTTTTGTGTCATAAGATCGTTAGTCACTGTTGGCCACTTTGAAGGATACACAATTGACAATTTTTGGGTCTCCTGCATCATCTATCCTTTGTCTAACTTTATCATCTATGACATCAGGGACTTGTTACACACTCAAGAAAGACGGAACAAAACTTGCAAACATCTTGGCCTTGTTTTAGGCGACTATTGTATCAGCTGTGAACTTGAGCTAGCTGGGCCTGAATATGTTGGTCAGCAGGACTTCTCCTCTTTGTCACCGGAAGTTGCTGAAGACTTATTCAGTTGCAAGTTGTCCCACAAAGATGCTTGTTCACAGGTTGTCACTTCTAAAGTGGCAAGGGTTAACAAAGCTACGATCACCGTGGATAATGTGTTGAGCCCAGCCCATACATTGCTCCAAATACAATGCACTGATCAAAAGGGCCTCATCTATGACATTTTGAGGACGTTCAAGGATCTAGATATTCAGGTATGCCATTGCAAAACTTCTTTGGGTGTATTGCTTATAACTAACTGGAACTGTTATCTTGTACTAAATTTGGTAAAACAGCACCCTTTTTTTCCCTCTGGAAGTGCTTGTACTTTAAGGACCTTGAGTCGTAAATTTATTGACTGGATTATCAAGAATTTAATGGTAGTTGCTTCTGCGCTGTATTGAGTTTTCTGTGCATTATCCAGGATAGGCCAGTTTATATAGTTTAGTATTGGACAATTGTTTAAAGGATCTTTCTTGGATAAGGGGGTCAGGCTTGATGTTAGGTCCTCCATATTTACAAGCAATCATTTGAATCTAGAGCTTCTCACTTGAGTTGACATGGACTGAAATACTGTGTGGGAAATGTTGCAATGCCAATTTTTGCTGTTTTCTTCTAGATTGCTTATGGAAGAATTCCTCCATATTTCTTCTAGATTTCTTCTAAATTGGCATTCCTTGATTTTCTTTGTAACTTTGTGGGAAATGTTGCAATGCCAATTTTTTCTGTTTTCTTCTAGATTGCTTATGGAAGAATTTCTCCTACTGCTAAAGGATATCGGAACATGGACCTGTTTATCCAGAAAAGAGATGGGAAAAAGATTGTAGGTCATGAAAGTCAAGTTGCTTTATGTTCTCACCTAAAGGAAGAGATGCTTCATCCGCTGAGAGTCACCATTACTAGCCGTGGCCCTGATACAGAACTCTTGGTTGCTAATCCTGTTGAGTTATCTGGAAAGGGAAGGCCACGAGTTTTTTATGATGTTACATTTGCCCTAAAAACACTTGGGATCTGTATATTTTCGGTATGCAAACACATACTTTAAACAATTACACGATCTTGGTTTCTTTTGCTCTTCCAGCTCACTGGCCTTCCCCCAGCCCCTCTCTCTCTATGTGAACGAACTTACTTTTGTGCATTTAGAGAAGAGCGAGAAGTCCTTAAATTATACCTATTCAAATTACTTATCCTTTTGATTCATTTGCAGGCTGAGATTGATAGGCATTCAACATCAGATCGCCAGTGGGAAGTGTATAGATTTCTCTTGGAAGAAAGCCGAGGATTCCCATTAGCTAGCCAGCGAGCTCGAAGTGAAATTGTTGAGAGGGTTAAAGGAACTCTGATGGGTTGGTGAATTTTCAATTAATACCTCACTCATTGAGAACTAGCACTTTGTCTCAGGGTGATGTGTTCATAAGGCATCAGGTTTCTGAAGATATAAGAGCATTTCTGCTCCACTTGAGTTGAGAAGGCTTGCTGTTGCAAACTGTATGGCTCGTCAACAAAGGTTTCAACAAATGAAATACATCAAGCTCCTCACCTTCTGCTCATGTTCTTGTTGTAATCCTTCGATCCTTCGTGTAGCTTAGCAAAAAATTTACCGTTGGCTTTATTTGGTTCTTTTTAGTATGCTCAATTACTTGATATAATTTGTGAGCGTTGTAAAATGAAGAGTGGAATTACTTACCAAGACCCAAAAAAAAAAAAAGAGTAAAGAGGAGAATGATAATAAGCTGTCATGGCTTTGAGCCCCCTAGTAGGAAGTATTCAAGGAGAAAAGAAACGATGATGAAAGTGGGCATGTGCTGATGTAGGAGTAAATTCAGTGTGTATCAGCCTGCTATAGGTTGGACATTGTTTTAAATGTTGCTTAGGAAAAATGAAATTAGAGGATGAGAGGGCAATCGCCTGGTTGCTTAATCAACACTTGGGGCATCTAATGGTAACCTCAAAACTTGACGTGGCATTCCCATGGACGTATGATGCAAAGAAGTCCCAGCAGAAATGGTGTCCAATTTTGCCTGGATATCTAACTACAGGAGTGTACCTGCAAGATCTTGAAGTCTGGAAGCGCAATTATCAACATGTAAACTCAGAGAGGGGACTAAAGGTGCTGAGAAATTGGCCAAGTTCGGCCTGTCACACAACTGTGAAGACGAATTGGCCCTAAAGTTTGAGCAGGCATAAGTAGTCTCGTATAGTGGCCTCATTTTAGAAATCTATTGTACCCAGAAGAACATATAAAAGCTCCGGCCAGGTCAGCAATGGTTTTACCGAGGCTCAGCCAGCCGGCTGGCACGTCAGAAAACAACTTTCATTTTTACTCGTGGAGATAGGCAGTCCTATTTTCTTTCTTTCTTTTTTTGTTTTAAGCCTCTTTTTCTTGGGATGAATCCAGGTAAGTGCTTCTCGTGAGCCATGAGGGAGAAAGACTAGAGTGTGACCAAACTAATAAGAGTGGACGAGTTTTTTTAAGCAGTTTTAAGTAAGCAATTGATTGGATCTTAAACAAGGGAGATTCTCTCACACGGAAAAGAGCTAAGAGGGAAATAGGAGGATTTCACAGTCGGGAATATGGAGTAACGACTTGATCGAGTCTTAATTAGTTTAATTGGCCCAAGGAAGTTTTTTTCTTTGAAGGACAAGGAAGTTTTTGAAAAGCGAGTAACATCTCGACCTACGCTACAAGACTGCATATTTTACAGAAGATACTTGTCAAGCCGCCTGTGGGCCAAAAACAAATCAATTTCCTTGTCATTGCCACCAGTGGGGTGGCCGCGTACCAAATCTTCATTTTCCAGTTTCCTTGTGCTCTATTTTATTTTTGGGGGGTTTGGGGGGAAAACGTTGAGCCTTTGGATTGAGTGATTGAAGGGAAATGACCTGAGTGGAAAGGAAAGGAGAGTTAAGAAGAAAAAAAAAAGGCAGGTTCCCTTTAATTTTGTTTGGACTAGGGTTCCGTTTGATAAAACTGAATTTGAATTCTGAAATCTGAATACTGAAACAATTAATTTGCTGAATTTTAAGCACTGAAAAACAATATATGAATGTCTGAATTTTAATGCTAAACCTATTTATACTGTTTGATAAATATTTATAACTGAATGCTTAATAAGTTAAATTTGACAATTTTGCTTTTATATCTTTTCATCCAAAAACGAAATAGAACATATGATTTAATTAGTTAAAAATGTTAGGTATGAAAATGACAATATTTATTTTTAAATCAAATTAATATAAAAGATAAATTTTATTATATGAGAAGTATGGAGAAGAAGTGAAAGTCATTCAAAAGGGAGGAAAAGAGAAATAGAAAATCATTAGATAGAGAATATTAGGTTGTTTAATTATATTAGAATTTTTAACATAATTAATAAACAATGGTAGATTTGGTAGATAAGATAAGGTAGTTGAAGTAATTCTATTGGTTCTTATCAAAATTAAGCATTCAATTAGGATTCTTGTGCTGAAAAAAATACACACAAGTTCAGCACTACTTAACAAGTTCAGCAAATGAATTTTCATTTATCAAACACTCAAAACATCTGAATATCTAAAAAAGTTCAGATTCAGCACTTTTTTATGTTATCAAACAAACTCTAAGTATGAAAAGAAAAATAAATAAACAAACACCAGTGTTTTATTTAGATTAAGGAAAGTAAAAGTTCAAGTCTTAATTAATAGAAAAGAAATGGAATAACATATATTTAAAAATTTTAAATTATTTCATTTAATTTAACTCTTTTTTTTCACCCATTTTTGGATGACAATTAAATGTCAAACAAATAATATAGACCCCTTCCTACCCTTTCTATACTTTCCCTTTCCTCTTCAAAGAAAGGAAAAATGAAGGTCATTTTCCCACTGCAATGGATCTTCTGTTTTACACTTTGTGCCATTCTTTGTCTCACTTTTTATTATATTGCTTTTTCTCTTTCATAAATATTATATTTTAGTTATTTTTTAATTTTCTTAAGATTCAATGACTATTAATTGAGTAAAATAAATACAATAACTTTAAAAAATAATATATAATAGAAAATTTAAAAATACATCAAAAAATTCATAAAAATCTCATTTTTTATGAATTTTATTTTTTGAGAAAAATAAATACAATAGTTTAAAATTTTAATATATAATAGAAAATTTAAAAATACAACAAAAAATTTATAAAAATATCATTTTTTATGCATTTTGATTTTGTGAGTTTGTTAAATTTTGTGTATTACTCAGTTAATAGTTATTGGATTTTAATTAAAAAAGAACTTAAATATGATGTTTATGAAGGAGAAATAGTAATATAATAAAAAGTGAAACAAAGAGTGGCATGGAACACGAGACAAAAGATTCGTTGCCTGAAAAATAATGAAGGTAGTTTTTTTTTTCTTTCGAAACCCAAAGAGCTTACGTCAATTTTTACAAATCTAAACCCCGAGGGAACCCCAAAAGCCGGTATCCTTTGAGGTCCCACGAGGAAGATAGTTACTTAAGAAAAAAGAAGAAGGAAAAACAAGGAATTCCTTTCCTTTCCTTGCCTTAAAAATACCGAAGAAAGTTACTTAAGAAAAAAGAAGAAGGATAAAAAAGAAATAGGGAAAAAAAAGAGAGAAAATTGAAAATGCTGTTTAACACTTTAACGGCAGCGTTGCACGCATTGCCTTCAAATTTCCCAAGTTCGAAGGTACAACATCAGTTCACTCCCGCCGTCCTCCTCCTCCTCTGAGGTTTCCTACATCATAGAATCGATGGTCTCATTCCACTCCTGCTTTCTGGTAGCACTTGGAGCGGAATTAAACGCAGAAAAGCTAGTCTTAGGAGGTCAGATTATTTACCTTTGTTCTTAATAAATCTTTTTAAATTTCTTCTCCACTGCAAAAATTTCTCACCATTCATGCAGAGAAAAACGAAATATATCTTAGTAACTTCGACTGAGTACAATACTATTGGCAGGTTTTAGTCAAGCGTTAAGGAAGTTTGTTTCTTTATAAAGCTCTTATTGATATAGGGTTGAGTTAAATTTTATGTTTCAGAAAAAATTCGACGGAAGAAAGCAGCAAAGCGAAGAAAATACTCCACAATTAAGTATTCCGTCTTGGCAAAAAAGGTGTAGTAATGACTAACCGTGCAAATTAATTATCTGAAAGGTCCATAGTAGTTGACAAGACTTGATTCTGGTCACCTGTTTCTGATGGAATTTGAAAACCTATTCAAAAGAAAAAGGCTATAACAGCAGACCTGCAGAGAATGTTGTAATAACTCTTGGTACTCAGTCTTTCTAAAATAACTTGGTTACCGATATTGCTTTGTGTCCTTGTCCCAGTTCCAGCACATAAACTGTATGTATTTAGTATTTGCCTTGTGATATTGCTGTGGCTCTAGGGCATGTTCAGATTGTTGCCAGCCTGGAAAGGTAGGCATTTTTCAACATCTCTTCCATATGTTCGATCTAACTATCATTGGTATTCCACGAATGCAATCTGCCTTCAGATTCCACCAAATGACATTGAGGATGAGAAGAATGAGATTGATTTTGAGCTTTTATTCAGCTCATGCACCAAAACTGATATCGTTAAGAGGCTTCATGCCCTCCTTATTGTCTCAGGGAGGGTGCAGAGACTGTCCCACACAACTAGACTTGTCAATCTTTATGCCCATCTGGGTGATGTTTCATTATCTTGCAGTACTTTTAATCAGATACAAACAAAAGACACCTATAGCTGGAACTCGATGTTGTCAGCTTATGTTCGTAATGGCCAATTTACTGAAGCCGTTAATTGTGTTTACAAAATGTTGTCAATGTCTGATGTTCGGCCCGATTTCTATACTTTTCCTCCGGTTCTGAAAGCTTGTCGTAGATTAATTGATGGGATGAGACTACATGGTTGGGTTTTCAAATTGGGCTTTGAATGGGATGTTTTTGTTGCTTCTGCACTGGTCCACATGTATTGCCGCTTTGGGCAGTTTATTGTTGCCAATAGGATCTTCAAGGACATGCCATCTCGAGATATGGGCTGCTGGAATTCTGTGATATCTGGGTTCTGTCAGAATGGGAATGCAGCGGAGGCGTTGGCAATCTTGGATCAAATGAGATTGGAAGGAATTAAGATGGATTCAGTGACTGTTTCTAGCATTCTTCCTGTTTGTGCACAAATGAATGATAGTTTACGAGGCATGCTGGTTCATTTGTATGCCATAAAGCATCGCTTGGAAGTTGATGTTTATGTGTCCAATGCCCTGATTAACATGTACGCTAAATTTGGTGAATTAGAAAGCGCCCAGAAGGTTTTTGATCAGATGGTGCTCAGAGATATAGTTTCATGGAACTCAGTGATTGCTGCATATGAGCAAAATGATCTCCCAGGTTGTGCAATCTACTTCTTTCATCAGATGCAACTCAATCAACTTCAGCCAGATTTATTGACAATGGTAAGCATAGCTTCCAGCATTGCTCAGACTAGAGATTATGTTTCTGCAAAATCCATCCATGGATATATTCTACGGAGATGTTGGATTAATGAAGATGTTGTACTTGGAAATACAATTGTTGACATGTATGCTAAACTTGGCATTATGGACTCTGCACGCATGGTTTTCGATGAAATGTTTGTTAAAGATGTGGTTTCATTTAACACAATGATCGCAGGTTATGGTCAAAATGGTCTTGCAAGCGAGGCCGTTGAAATATTCCGCATGATGCCTTGCAAAAACATAACACCTGATGAGGGTACTTGGGTTAGTGTTTTACCTGCTTATGCTCATCTTGGAGCCTTGCGAGAAGGGACTAAAGCTCATGGCCAGGTTTTCAAAAGAGGTCTACATTGGGATATCTTTGTGGGCACATGCCTGGTTGATTTGTATGGAAAGTGTGGGAGACTGGATGAGGCATTGCTTTTATTCTATGAGGTTCCCAGGACTAGTTCTGTCCATTGGAATGCAATTATAGCTTGCCATGGAATTCATGGATGTGGTGGGACATCTCTACAACTATTCAGAGATATGCTGGATGAGGGGGTACAGCCAGATCACATAACCTTTTTGTCCATATTGGCAGCTTGCAGCCATTCTGGCCTGGTTGACCAAGGTAAATCATATTTTCACCTGATGCAGCAAGAATATGAAATTAAACCTGGTATGAAGCACTATGGGTGCATGGTGGACTTGTATGGTAGGGCCGGACATCTGGAAAAGGCATACAATTTTATTAAACGTATGCCTGTACCTCCTGATGCTTCAGTATGGGGTGCTCTTCTTAATGCTTGTAGAATCCATGGAAATATTGAGTTGGGTAAAGTGGCTTCGCACCACTTGTTTGAAGTTGATTCAGATAATGTTGGGTACTATGTCTTATTGTCAAATATATATGCAAATGTTGGGAGATGGGAAGGGGTTGATGTAGTAAGATCATGGGCTAGAGACAAGGGATTGAGGAAGACACCTGGGTGGACCTCGATTGAGTTAAATAATATGATTGAGGTATTTTATACTGGACATCCACAGTCTGAAGAGATGTACATGGAACTGGCCATTTTAACTGCCAAAGCAAAAGACCTTGGTTATGCTCCAGACTACAGCTTTGTGTTGCAGGATGTTGAGGATGATGAGAAGGAAAACATTCTCACAAGTCACAGTGAGAGATTGGCTATTGCTTATGGAATCTTAAATTCACCTCCAAAAAGCACTATTCGAATTTTTAAGAACTTGCGTGTTTGTGGAGACTGCCACAATATGACTAAATTTACATCTAAGATCACTGAGAGGGAGATTATTGTGAGAGATTCAAACCGTTTTCATCACTTCAAAGATGGATTTTGTTCTTGTGGAGATTATTGGTAACGACTGGATGTCATTACTTGGTGCTGAAAGTTTCCCATTTGGATTGATTTTCGGGTTCATCCAAGATCCAGGGTAAGAACTTATAGTGGTTTCTTTTCTGAAGGAACATTCTTGGCCATATTGTACGAAGTATATTATTTAGGATCAGAGTTATAGGTATTTATATTCTCAATTTGCAATTTTTTTAATTAGTCAAGTGCTGAACAAGAGCATATTAAGGACACTGACAATAGTGTCGGGTGATTATTGCTTAGACAGGGATGCATTAAATGATAAGCTTGAGAGTGCTACAATGTTGGGTTTTGCAGATTTTAGCTGTTTATTATGGACCCTAGTCTTCTTCCTTTGGTTTCATCCACAATTTTAGTACCAGCCTTTATTGTTGGATTCAGTTTGCTTAATTTTAAATTAATTTTTCCTTTTTATTCTGAATGAAGTCTTAGACAAAATATATGTGAAAGTCATTCCAACATGAGAGAGAGTATCAAAAAAGCTATTTGCTGAATGCAATGTTGATAGTTTTCAAGACTAAGTGATGTGGCTATGATAACTGTGGGGAATGTTGTAACTAGTTCCTGATTTCTGGCAAAATCTTTCTTTTCCCCCTTGACTGCCCTCCCCCCCCCCCCTCTCTCTCCCCAACACCCAAATCTTTTTTAGTATTAGTTAATCACTGCTCTGTGAAGCTCTAGTAATTAATCTTAAGCTATTATGTCAACATGGAAATGTAGAAAATTATCAATGCTCAAGTGATTTTCTGTTTTTGGTTGTTTGAGCAGGAAAGATTCATTGGATTATTATGACTGTCACTGAATTTAAAGTGAGTTGTGAATCTAGACTCTGACTTTTTTTCCATTTTTGAATGTTTCACGGTTCTACTTTGGGTCCCTGTATTATTCCCGCCAGAAGTGAATCTGTAAGGTTTCTCAGCAATAAGCATGCATCTCATGAACATTTACCTTACATGATTGTCCTTTTATCTGCCAGTCTTTGTTAATCCTCAGCTGGTCATTTTCAAATCAGAAATGCTGACAGGCCTGACTTTCTTTCCTAATTTTTCAACTAATGACTGAACTGAAGTCAAAGTATCTTTTGCAGATAGTTTTGCAAACGGTATCGTGTTCTCTCTACAGAATTGCTTCCAAAACTTGGAGAAACTTGGATGAGGCCATTGCCTATTAAAAAACAGATGAGAATCCTCTATGCTCCTTTAACTTGGAGATATTGATTTGCAGAGTAAACTGCAGAGATCCTTTTCAGGAGGAGAACATGAACCTATAATTGACAACTCCGCGGAACCAGTGCTCCTTGAATCAGGCCTGTTCCTGCAGTACATTACAGCCATCTGAGTCGGTCTTGCCATGAGAAGGAAGCTGGAATATGACTCTCTAAGGAATGATGCTAGTTTGTAGGTGAGCTTTCTTTTCATACAAGTCAAGCAGCCATTGGCAATTCTGATTATTTGGCCACTGCCGTGCAATTCCTTGAAGGTACTATTTTTCGCTGCTAGTTGACAGCCTTCATGAACAAGTAACAATTGCCATTATTTCACAGCCCATCCGACAATAGGTAAATTTATTTGGTAACAATTATGTCCAATGAGTTGTGTAGCTGCCGTTCTTGTCTTTTGTTTACATTGATTTATTACTGCTTACATCCAAAATCATCACTAAATTGAGTGAGAATTTACTGTTTCCAAGTGTCAAATTTGAAACGAAAAGATTGTAGGGAAATTTTACTGGAATCCTGTTTGGCCTTTATATCTAACTGCGAAAATGAACGCTGTTCTATCAATTTGACACACTGTTTAACGTGCAAGGTATATGCATTCCAGACGGCTTATATGGATGATATTTGCCTGTTTAGTACATTGAATTTCATCTTTTTAAAAATTGTTAATGTGAAAATGTGGTAAATTTCCACCTTCTGATTACCCGATAGATTCGGTTTTTTTTTTTTTGACAAATTCAAGAAACAATAAATTTAATTTAATTCAAAGATACAACAACAGTTCTAGGGAAACAATTAATAATGAATGGTACCTAGAAGTGACAATTTGGATTGAGATCCATTTATCCATCCATATAATCCATAATTAAATGGATAATGGATTATCCATTTATAGTATTGGTTTTAAATGGTTGATTAAAGTAAAATCATTAAATTAAATGAATTTATATGAATTATTCACAAAAATCATATATATCCATTTACTTAAAAATCAAATAAAAGAGAGGGAAAGGAAATGACTAAAAAAGGAGCCATCCTAAAATTGTAGTTGGGGCGTGAAAAAGCCATCCCCGTGAATGGTAACCAACCCTGAAACTGAATGTTGGGGTTTACTGCTGAACTAATTAATCATTCCTTTGTTTCTTCTTCTAGACTCCACAGTACAAAGGGATTTCGATTGGCTTTGAAGAGGTCGGGACAAAGGGAACATGCCCTGCTTGGTACACCCATGCACCTGATTACTAGATGTTGAGCTCAAAAGTCATCCGTGGCTTTAGTAGTAGACATTGCAGGTGTTGTGTGAGCACGAATAAAAGCCAGTGTTGGTATTTTTGTAGATACCCTACATACGGTCTATGCAGGACTTCTATTGTTTGGGCTAGTTTGCAATATATGACTACTCTGTAATATGTAATATATATATACATATATATAATAATAATAATTTCAGATAGTTTTTTAGTGCAACGAAGGTTCATTTTGCTTGAATTTACATCCGTGGTATTTTGTGGCTTGAATTTATAAGAAATGATAATACAAAAAAAAAAAGTAACAAAAATATTTAAATAAATTATAAATGGATAATTAATTTTTATTTAATCCATTTAAATTCATTTATTAAATAGATCTAAATAGATTGGATAAATTTTATCTATCATTTATTAAGTTAAAATTAATTATGAATCATTTATCTATATTGCCACGTCATTGGTACCCAATAAATTCGGCACCATTGCTACGGTACCTAGATGTCCGGAGAATAGACACAACCTAGAAAAATATCTTCCCTTAAAAAGGCTGGGAACTAAAGAAATAGAATCATTGCAGTGACTTGGGAGCTCAGAGTAACATCTGAAAACAAATCCAAGAGATATGTGCTCTCTGGAGAAGCGAGGCAGCGTCTTTATACTGACCCTAACCGGCAACGATGAGCACCGGTTAAACCCGACGCTCATCGACTCCATCCGGGCCGCGCTCCAGCAAGTCAAAGCCGAATCTACTTCCCCCTCGGCCCTGATAACCACGGCCCAAGGTAAGTATTTCTCCAACGGCTACGACCTTAAGTGGGCCGGAAGCAATGGCGGCCGCGCACAGCTCATGTCCTCCAAGCTTCGTTCTCTCGTTTCCGAACTAATCACTCTGCCCATGCCCACCATCGCGGCTATCACCGGCCACGCCTCCGCAGCCGGCTTCGTCTTGGCGCTGTGTCACGACTACCATCTAATGCGAAAGGATCGAGGGTTTCTCTACGTGAGCGAGCTGGATATCGGATACAAAGTTCCTCTCTGGTTTGCGGCTTTGATAAAGAGCAAAGTTAGCTCGCCAAAGGCTCGGCGGGAGATGATAATGAAAGCGGCTAAGCTGACAGCTGAGATGGCTCTGGAGAGGGGCATTATCGACTCGGCGCATGATGGCGCGGAGGAGACGGTGGACGCTGCCGTGAAACTCGGGGAGGAGTTGGTGAGAAGGAAGTGGAGTGGACACGTGTACGCTCAGAATAGGACGGCTGTGCTGGATGAGGTGTTGAGTACGCTTGGATTTGACGAAACCGTGGGTGATTATGGGAGCTCAACCAAGACTTTTTCAAGACTCTGAGATTTTCCTTTGTAATAATCCTACTCTAAAAAAAAAAAAAAAAAGTCATGTTAGTTCGTTTGTCTTTTTCATGTTTAATTTTAATAGTATTGGGTCCGTTTGGATTAGCTGTTTTTGGGGTTATTTTTCAAAAACAATATTGTAGCATTTCGTTTTTGAAATACAAGTTCGTTTGGATTAGTTGTTTTTTGGGTTGTTTTTCAAAAATTATATGAAAAACTTTTACTGTAGATGTTTTTTTGATTATTTTTAGAGGTATTTTTAAAACATATTTTTGAGTATTTTATAATTTATAATTTATATATTTTTATATTTATATATATTTATGCATTTATAATACATTTATAAATATTTATAAATAAATATATTTATATATTTATATAAAAATATATAAATGTATTATATTATATGTAATACATAATATAAATATATTTAGAAATGTATAAGTGTATATTATTATAAATATATAAATTATAAATGAATATTATATAAATTAATATATCATAAATATATATTAATATTTTGTAAAAATGTATTAATATAATTAATATAAATATATAAATGTATTAATATTATGTATAAATGTAAAATTAATATTATGTATATTAATATAAATGTATCAATGTATTATATTATATATAATACATAATATAAATGTAAATTATAAATATACATAAATATATATATTATGTATAAATGTACATTTATATAAATGTATAATCTATATAATATATATTATATTATATTATATTATATTATATATAATTTTATAATATATATTTTTTGTATAAATATATTATAAATATATAAAAATATATATTAAATAAATAAATTATATATAATATGAATAAATAAATATATAAATATATTATTTATAAATATTTAATATATATAATATACATTAATATTAATTATAAATATTTGAATATTAATAAATATGGTGTTTATATAATATTTCAATTTGTAATATTTATTGTATATTTCATTATATAAATATTTATATAATATATAAATATATAATATAAAATTTTGCAATTTGTATAATATACATAATATTGTATATATATAATATAATATACATAATATACATTATTACATTATTACATATTATGTATATTATATATTATACTTAACTTTATTATACATTATTATACACAATAATGTACATAATAATGAAAGTACATTAATAATGTATATATTATAATATAATGTACATAATATATTATGTATAAATATTTATACATTTATGTATACAATATTACATATTATGTATATTATATTATATTATGTATAATATTAATGTATGTAAATATTTATATAATATATAATATATAACATATAAATATATAAATTTCAATTTGTATATTTCAATTTACATATTCAATTTACATATTTCAATTTATATATTTCAATTTATATTATATTAATATAAATTGAAATATACATATTAAATTTATATATTTGGAGTTGTTTTTGATATAATGTTTGGATATGGGTGTTTTTGGAATTGTTTTTGAAATACATATTTACTGTAGCATTTGGAATGTGAAAAATAGTTTTTCAAAAACAGGTGCAAAAACAAAGAATCCAAACGAACCCATTGGTTTTTGGAAAATGAGGTGGAAATTGTGAAAGGAGGAATGCTAGTTGGGGCAGGAGCAATTATGTTCTAGGTGCTGTCGTCCTTGTTAAATTGTACTAGCGTACGAGTTCTTTACAAAACCGCTTGGCCAATGGCGCCACCAACAAGGGACTTAAGTCCTTCTTGGACTGGACTGTAAGGGTACGAATCTCATCTATAGCGAAAAAAATTTAAGAATTATGTCATAATACTCTCTTAATTTAGTTGAATCTGTATATTTATTAATTTCTATAATAATCTTTTTAGGCTTCCTTTTTTTTTAAATTAAGATAAAATAGATTATATAAATATATTGTTGCTGATAAAAAAAAGTACCAATTTTTTACAAAATACAAAATAATGCAAGGCGTGAGTGATTCGTCCAATTTAAAGGAGGCCAAAAAAGCAAATGTGGAGGCGAAGGTTACCACGTATTCAAGAAGACAAGATAAAGAAATCTAGAAAATAACACTCAATGCTAGACATGAAGATTGACAGCGTCTGTAATTATCCAAACTTCCAAACTTGGATCTGTATTGTTATCTTTTTAAAAGCCGACAGCTCATCTACGGGATAATTGTTGGTTTGCCAATTTGAGAGTTGACCTGATAACAAAGAATGATAACGTAATGGATTAAATAGGTTGCAATCAGCCGTTGCGTCAAAACTCAGAATTCAAATAGAGTTTGAGCGCAAAATTGAATTCGAACTTGAGTTCAAACTCAAAATATTAACCACAACCTTGAGTATATATATTTTTATTTTTTTATTTTAATAGTAAAATTGTATATATATTTATAATATTTTATTATTTATTAAAAATTATTTTTTATTTTTTCCAAGCTCGAGTTCTAATTTTAAATTGCTAGCTGGTCGAGTTTGAATTCGAGTTCGAGTTTTATAAAATTAAATCAAGACTCGACTCGATTAGGTCAAAATTCGATTCTCGACTCGTTTGCAACCCTAAATAGATATACAAATAAATAAGAAATCGAGGTTTAGTATGAGCTAATGAACTCTGATACCTGTACCTATTACAATTCAAAAAAAAAAATGCATCATACAAGTTAATGCTATCTACCTTTTTTATAACTATTATAATATAAAATGTATGGGCAAATGATATCGGCACTTTAAACAAGTTTTAGGTACTCCATTCTTATTTTTTAGTTAATGAAATGACACAGAAAACCTATAAAATGTTTTAAGAGACGAAATTGGCCCTTGATGTATTTGCTGATAGCTCTCCCTATTTCCTTTTCAATTTGTTCAATTTTCACTAGTCTTACACTAGCCCTAAATTGTTGTATCATTAATAACGGATGAAATTTTAAAAAAAATATTATTCTATAAATGCTGTATGATTATAAAATATTTAGTAATTCATAAGTAAACTATTATTCTTTGTGATTTGGGTTTTGAAGTTGTGTATTATTTTTTGGAATTGTTCATTACTATTCTTTAGTAGAACTTTACAACTTTAACCAACTATATGTGTGCATGAATCTATTTACATTAAGTTTTAGAACTTTGTAATCAAAAGTTTAGTGGTCTTCACAAAAAAATAATGCAAAAGCTATCATTTACTATGCCTTGGAGGTATTTTTGGTATTCAATTTGTTAAAGAATACAGGTTTTAGATCTTGTAGTCATTTTTTACTAAAATAAACAAGCGTAGAGTGCCTGGCTGACAAAATCAGGCTGACTGCTGACCGTCATGTTTGAAAATACTCTTGCTTGTTTGTTTCTGATTACAGCTGCCTATCCTGACTTGGCCAAAAAAATAAATAAAAACTTTGCTTGTTAGGCTGATCAAACTCCCTATACCATAATAAAGTCTCCATAAACAAAATGTTTGCTCATTAATCTACGTACAGAGGGCTGACTCTCAATAATAGTAGTACTAGTTGTTAATTAGTAGTACAAAAATATGTGCACTCTTGAGAAGAGAGGCAACCTCTTCATCTTAACCATCATCGGTGATGATGAGCACCGGTTGAACCCAACGCTGATAGACTCCATCAGGGAGGCTCTGCACCGTGCTCGGGGTGAGTGTAGTGGCCCCTCCGCCCTCATCACCACAGCCCACGGAAAATTTTTCTCTAACGGCTATGATCTTGCATGGGCCCAATCCGACAGATCCCGGTTACTGCTCATGGACGCCAAGCTCCGGTGTCTTATTTCCGACCTCATCAACTTCCCCATGCCCACCATCGCCGCCGTCACAGGCCATGCCTCGGCAGCTGCCTTCGCCTTCGCCATGGCCCATGACTACATCCTAATGCGCAAAGATCGGGGTTTTCTTTACATGAGTGAGCTGGATATTGGGCTTGTGATCCCGCCATGGTTTGTGACTTTGTTGAAGTCCAAGGCCAAGTCACCGGTGGCTTGGCGCGAGGTGGTTTTGAAAGCGGCTAAGTTGACGGCTGAGATGGGAATGGAGATGGGTATTGTTAGCTCGGCTCACGTTAGTGCAGAGGAGACGGTAAAAGCAGCTGTGGAATTAGGGGAGGCGTTGGTGGCGAGAAAATGGGACGGAGAAGTATACAGCGAAAACAGGAGGATGGTGTTTGTTGAGGTGCTGGCTGCGACTCGTTCGCATGAAACCGGTGCCGGCGGTGATGATGAAAAGCGTGCGGAATCCGTCGCTAAGACTTTGTCAAAGCTGTGACTTGAAAACCTTCTTGCTGTTGGATTCATTTCTTTGCATGTATCTGATATGGCCCATGCTTTTTTTATTATCTGGTTGTTTACAAGTAAGACCAATAAAGTTGAAGCAAAAAATAAATTTTTTTTTATTGAAACGTTTTACCCAGTACTCTAATTCTTAAACCAAAAAACTTTCTAGTGATGGCAGTAAAAGTTTTCTTTAATCGTGATTAAAGATAGCTTTTCCTAGCTTTGAATTCATTTCTTTGCATGTATGTGGTGTACTGTTGTACCTATTTAACTTTTTACGATTAATTATTCTTTTTTTCCCCTGTTGTAAGATATAGTTAAATAACGAAGATGTCATATTAATGGGGAAAAGTTCTTTGATCAATGATTAATTTGGAGAGGGTTGGATTTGGTGGTAAAGAAGAGGTATTGTAAGTACGGAGTCTAGATTTAAGATTTCCCGCTTAAAAAAAAAAATTAACTCCAGTCAAAATTGAAGTATGAGTTCTTGCAGCATCTATATTCTATTTTCGTGTCCTCTAACTCCTAGGATGGCCTTGACTTTGTTTAGATTTTACAAAATTTAATTATAGAAATTGATCACCAAAAAAAACTACTCTTTGGATGATTATAAATTTTAATGATTTTAGTCATTAAAAAATTCATAATCAAAATACAAAAACAATCGAGAGTATAAAAAAAATTAATTATCTAAAATCAAATTTATAATCAATTAAAATAACCAACAAAGAACAAATCCAATGTCATTTTGATATGCTTAACTGCACTTCAATTATAAAAGTGTAACGAACGTGCCTCCACATTTTTCCGTGAATACAATTACCTGCCTTCACCTTCTAGTTTTATTATTATTATTTTTAATGAACTTGTTGGCATTTAGATTGGTTGTTATACGAATACTAGGGGAAAAAGCCCACGCCATGCGCGGGAGTTTAATACCTATAATTAAGATAATTAATAATTATTATTTAGTATTTTGTAATATAAGAATTGAAATATGATAATTTTATTATGTGATATTAAACAGAAAAATCATAAATTACATATTGAGTAAAAATATATAATATGCAATGAAATATAATTATAAAACATGATTAACCACTTTGCGTCTAATCTAATAGAATAAAATATTTACTTATATCTGCTCATGCACTTTAGGAATATTAAAATTTGTTGTTTAGTTTTAATTTGATTTTGATACGAGGGCAATCCACCTCATTATCTTGTCATATAAGTAAGATTTGAACAATTAATATACTTGAAAAAATCATTGCTAGTGGAATTTCAGCTCTTGCAAGCTAAATTCTTTGATTTATATTGATTCCAATGACATATCATCATGAAATATCCACATTGATCAATCAATCAATTATGATTTATTGTATGATTTAGGACATATAACAAAGCATCTTCTTCTCGGTAGGGGTTACAATCACAAAATATCAGTTTTTGACCTAGTTGCAAATATATACAATAACTAACATGCTAATCTAGATGAATAATTACCTAAAAAAAGTACTAAAACATCTTAATCCACTCAATTCAAGGTAACAATTAAAAGTAACGAAGTACATACTTTAGATTTGCAGCCAAATAGTTTTAAGTAGATAGTTAAACATATTGACAAATCAAATGAAGTGAAAAATTACTTAAATGGAATCATCAATAAAGTAGCAAACAATTTGAAAATTACCGTAACTAATAGTTAAAACAACAAGAGAAGTAGATATAATATATAAATGAAAAAATTTATAATGATAAACTTATTCTAAACCACAAATAACAATTAACAAATGTGATCTCCTCCCTATCAAGCCTATCTAACATGGGCAGTTGAATTAAAACACTAAAAAAAAGTATTGTACATACAACTTGCAAGATTACAGATTTTTTACAACAAAAAAAGTAGATTAGCTAAAAAAACATATCTATTGAAAAAGATGTTGCAAAATGGGAAAGAGGAGCAACTAATATAGCAACATCTGAATTCAATAGACTACATGATTGTAATGGAACAAAGTTATAAGTAAATGAAATGAATTTGAATAGATGAGAGTTACTATAGTAACGGCCAAGAAACCAAACTTCTCTACTAATCAGTATTAATTGTGTCTTAACATCTATATATCATAAATTTGCAAATAACTGATAAGAATGACATTAAGAAATTAATAGACTTGGATTATGTTAATCCAATTAAATGATTAAAAGGATTTTTATGTAATTCCACTAAAACACAATCTGAATTCAATTGTACCCAATGTTTAATCAGATATCGAATACTTCTTCACATGTTAAACTTACCTATAGCTTTAAATGTCTGACAGGACATTTAAGTAAT